CAGGCTGCGCTCGGGGTCTGGGGGATCCTCCTGGTGGGGGCAGGGGGTCCCCTCCTACCCGTCCTGGGCCACAGATCCCCTCCTCTCCCAGGCCATAGGCGTCCCCTCCTGCCTCGGGACATGGGAGTCCCGTCCCCTCCCACCCATCCTGGGCCATAGGGGTCCCATCCCCTCTTGTCCTGGGCCAGGGGGGACACCTCTGAGGCCACAGGGGTCCCATTGTGCCCCATCCTGGGCCATGAGAGTCCCCTCCCACCCATTCTGGGCTGTGGAGGTCCCATCCCCTCCTGTCCTGGGCCAGGGGAAGCCTCTGTGACCATGGGTAGCCCATCCCACCCCCTCCAGGGCCACAGGGGCCCCCTCCCCTTTCATCTCATCCCAACAGGAGGTTTTGTCCCGTCCCCTCCCGAGCCCCGGGGTCCATCAGGCTCACCCGCAGGTCGGGGGGCAGCGGGTCCCCCCGCAACACGTAGTAGCACAGGTGGGTGCTGCGCAGCCAGAGGGGGAACGGCCCCTCCACGAAGACGGGCTGAGCCGGTCCATGCCGAGCCAGCAGCGCCTGCTGCTCCGGGCTCTGGGCGCCTGCAGAAGGGGAGCTGGGGACCCCACACCAGCACTGGGGACCACAAACCCCCGCAACAAGGGACCCCAACACGGGGGACCCAACACCGGGGGCTCCCTCCACACCAGGTTCCCCCGAATGCCTGGGTCCCCAAGCCCACACACTGGGTCCCCCCGCATGCTGGCGTCCCCCAAACACATGGGTCCCGGCCCCAGACACCTGCCCCCCTCAAGATGCCCACGTGCCTCCCCTGACACCCAGGTCCCCCTCGGTCCCCTGGCGCTCACCAACAATGTAGGGCTGGACAGAGCCCTCGTCGTCGTCCCCCTCATCTGGCACTGGCCGCTGCAGGAGGGAGACAGTCGTCACCAGCCACCCCTTAATGACCCAGGGACATCAGGGCCTCACTGGGGCACAGTGTCCCCAAGAGGGACCCAGCCAGCCACCCGGCCACAGTGACAGAGGGGCCACTTCTGCATCCCCACCCTCATGTCTCCTGCCCCAGCTCCACGTCCCCGTGTCCCACTCAGCTGATGGTGAGGTGGGTTCCCTGTCCCCAGCCCCCCGTCCCCGTCCCACCCCACCTGACAGACAGTGACGCTGGTCCCCCACCCCCTGTCTGCCCATCCCT